ATACAAAGTCGGGAAGGGGTTTGAGGAGGTAGAGATATAAAAGAATGAGTGAACGAGGCAGGGCACTGTGGCTCACGCCAGTGATCCCAGCACTGTGGGAGGCCGAGGTGGGCGGATCACCTGAGGTCAGGAGTTCAAGACCAGCCTGACCAACATGGTAAAACCCCGTCTCTACTAATAATACAAAAGTTAGCCGTGACGGGTGCCTGTAATCCCAGCTACTTGGAAGGCTGAGACAGGAGAACTGCTTGAACCCAGGAGGTAGAGGTTGCAGTGAGCCAAGATTTTGCCAATGCACTCTAGCCTGGGCAACAGAGTGAAACTCCAAGTGAATAAATGAATCGTGAGTGCATGTTGAGTGGGTAAGTAAGTGGGGAACGGGGTGAGTCAATGAGCGAGTGAGCAGGTGGATGAGTGGACAAACAGTTGAGCGAATGAATGAGTATGTGGCTGAATGAACCCCTCACTCTAGCGGAAAAGCCAGGGGAAGGGGCCTGAGCGTCTCCTTCAGGGGTACCTGCCAAGGCAGAGTCCTGGAACCCCTGCCCAGGACCTCTCCTGGAGGGCATCTGGGTCAGTCCCCTGTTCCTCAGCGCTGTCGGCCCCTGCCTCAGATCTCTTACCCAAACTCATCGCTTCCACCTGGCAAGGTAGATGGCCCGTGTACTGGGAGCACTACATGGTAGCATCCCTGGGAGGGTGCCCCCGGGCATCCTCCTGGATCTCTTTCTGGTGTGAAATAGGGAGCTCTCTCAGCTTCTTCAATTGAACACCTGTGTGACCAGCTCTGTCATCAGATATGTTTTGTAATTAAAGGCTACTCTGTCATAATATTTCAGGAATGTGCTGTGATTGGCCTTGAGGCAAAGGTCGGTTTCTCTGCATGTGTGCTGTACAGGGAAAAAGCTGTTCAACTATTTTTCCCTGAGTTGTAAAAGGGTCCAATATGAGTCCACAGGTTACAAAGTGTGTCAGTACCTTAAATGATCATTGCCCTTTCCCTACCTATCAACCTATTCCATGTCACTGCAGAAATCTTAAAAAATAGAGGAAATGACAAGGCAGAAAATAAAAGCCATCCAATATAGTGTTCCTTAAATAATAAGAAAAGGCTCTGTAGCTAAGCGGTCCAGGCTCGTCGTTCCTTTCCACATGTGGCTTTCAGCCCTGGAACAGTGGCTTTTCTGAACTAAGATGTGCCGTAAAGTAAAATTCACATACCAGATTTCAAATATGTAGTTGGAAAAAAGAGAATGTCCAAGGTCTGATTAATAACTTTTTTTTTTTTTTTTGAGACAGGGTCTCACTCTGTCACCCAGGCTGGAGTGCATTGGTGCAATCATAGCTCGCTGCAGCCTCAAACTTCTGGGCTTAGGCAATCCTCCCGCCTCAATTTCCCAAGTAGCTGGGATTACAGGCAGGCACCGCCATGCCTGGCTCATTTTTGTTTTTTCTTTTTTAGAAATGGGATCTGACTGTGTTGCCTAAGCTGGTCTCTGACTCCTGGCCTCAAGTGATCCTCCACTTCAGCTTCCCAAAGTGCTGGGATTACACGTGTGAGCCACCATGCCTGTCCAGGAACTTTTATATCGAGGACATGTTGAAATGATATTCTATGTAGAATAGGTTACATAACATAGATTATTGATTTCCCCTGATTATTTTTACTCTTGTTAGCGTGGGTAGTAGAATATCACAATGACACACACTCCACAGGGCCCAGTAACGCACTCCTTTATTGTACAGAAACTGTATCAGGAGGACGCAGTCTTCCCTGCCAAACCCAGAGGGCCTTCAAGGTTCCGATTCCCCAGCGCAGGGTTGGGAAGATTCCTCCGCTAACTGGTGATGCTCCTGGCTCATTTTCCCATTCATTTCTCCCACAAACATGGGGCCCAGGGTGTACAGCCAGTGGTTGTCACACACAGTATCCCCCCAAGAGAAACCTGCAGCCCAGAAGCTCGGCTGCAGGACAGAGACCCCCAGCCTGGCAGAGGCCTTGACACAAAACAGAAGTTTGGCACCAAATGATATATACATGAAGGCACAATGAAATGAACAGCAGGGTTCAAGGAAAAGGCCATGCATGGCATAACAAAATTCTGGAACATCTTTTATTCCAACCATAAGGTTTCCCAGGAAGGCGTCAGGATCTCCTATAACGATAACTGAGGCTCACAGTCAGCCCTGGAGCTGTGGCTTCCTTGACTTTGGGGAGGGGAGGGTGTGATGAGACCCCAGAGGATTCGCTCCAGAGTGAGACGCTTGCTGCAGCCAGTGCCTGCAACATTAGGATCCATCTCAGGCATTAGACATGGGTCTTTAGGGAAATCAGGGCCTTGGGCGGGTCACTGACACCAGGGGAGTGATGCGCTCACGCCCGGCACACAGCCCATGGAAGGTGCAGGGATAAGTCTGTGGCTGAGAGTAGCTCTCAGGGGGTTCATGGACTCTCAACAGTGCAGGGGTGCCAACCCACGTCCCAGCTCCATGGCCTTGGGACCTCAAGTCACCTTCAGCCCCTCAGGCCAGAGGACAGGAGAACCAGGACTTGTCCTTCTCTATCAGAAGCTGCATCGTATCTAGGGAGAAAATACACAATCGGGGCAGGGGCTCAGAGGAAGCCATAAGGGTCAGCCTCGTCTCTCTGGAGTGGCACAAGCTCAGACAGAGGCCGCCCACCTCTGCGAGGGGGAGGTTCCTTACTCTCGGAAAGTATTCTGGTGAAAGGAAATTGCCAGGCAATCTGGAACTTTTCTTCTTTCAAGCCCTGGGAAGAAGAATTGAACCAGTGGCGGGCAGCTAGGTGCTCTGTTTGGCAGGGTGGGCAGGTGCTGTCCTGCTGCAGGGAGTCCCACCCTGTCCCCCACGGCAGGGTTTCTGATGGCAATGCACCCATCATCTTGGGGAGGAAGGCTGTGCCTCCTGCAGAGTGCCTGGAGAGGAAGCAGCTGTTTAAGATTTCGTCTACACTTCTTCCCACACCTCCTGAGAAAGGACGCAGGAGGAGGTTGTCTGTGTGAATGCACTTGCAGATGACTGTAATCACCCTAACAGGGCGACTTAACATTTGTAAAGAGCTTAGCATAGGGCTGGCTGTAGTAAGTACTGAGCAGCTGCTTGTTAAATAAATAAACATAAATGGGGAAAATCCATAGTGTGCCAAGGATGGGAAGGAGAGTAAAGAGTGCAGAAATGAAGCCCGAAAAACTGAGGATGGTGGGCAGAAGGGAACACGAGTGGCTGAAGCCGAGGATGGAAGGAGCAGAGGTGAGGGATGCCATCTGAGTGGACCAGAAAGGCTTCCAGGAGAAGGTGGCCTGGCCAGGCTCTCAGCTACCCCGGGTGAGTTTTAAAGCTCTTGGGATTCTCAGAAGGCAGGCCTTGGGTTCACAAAACACATCATGAATCTGAAAACCCTCCTATGGAAACTGGATGTCCATGAATTCTGTTGGAGGAAAAAAAAAAAAAAAAAATCCGCACCCTCCCCTCCGCCCCAGGCAGAACTTCATGCTTTGGCTGCATTTCCGAGCTTCGGCCAGCAGTTTCCGAGCCCGTGGAGTCCCGCCGTCATGCTGCGGTTGGCCGGCCTCTGCTTGGGCACTGACATCATGCAAGGGAAGGAAATGACAGTGACCCGTCTCCCGCCCACCGTATCTCAGTTGTAAATTCCCCAGGCACGTCTTCCCCGGGGTAATTACAGCCCAAGTTGCTTTTAGGAGGTGATATCATTTACCTGTTTGGCCTCTGTTTCTGTCCTACGCGGGTTGTCCAGCAGCACGGGGCTGGTGGGGAGTGGGACGGGTGGCCGTTGGCGCTCACAATGGCCCTGAGTCATGACTGCTCACTCCTTCCATGCTCCTTTTCCTCCCCTGGGCTGCTCGTGAGTCAACAGCACTTATTAAACCCCTCTGAATGCAGATATTTGTACTGGGCCAATCGAGGGCCAGGGCAGGCTCAGTGCACCCGGGCTGTGCGGGTGCCACCACCACTACCAACGGAGAGCAACCCTGGGCACCTGCGTATTTCTATTTTGTAAAAAGAAACCCAATCTCCTTTCTGCCACCTCTCTAATTCTAGGTGTGGGTTGAATTCATGGAGTGAGCTCTGGTTTGAGGGGTGGGGATCAGGAGAGCTAGATGGAAAGTCAAGTTTGCTCTCTTGCCTGACCTTAAGCCAAGTACATCACCTCTCCGGGTGTGCACACCTGTGAAATGGGGACTGATAACGCTGGCCTCCCAGGTCCAGGTGACAGTGCAGGTGAGGGCTGCTGAGAAACCTGAGAGCAATGGTGCGCAACTGGGGTTGGTTTTGTCCCCTGGAGGATATTTGACAACACCAAGAAACATTTTTAGTTGTCACACTGGGGCTGGAGGCAGAGGGTGCTGCTGGCATCTTGTGGGTGGGTAGAGGCCACCAGGGAGCCTGCACAATGTCCCACACTGCACAAGACAGCTCCCACTGCAGAGGATGATCCGGCCCCACACATCCACCGCGCTGAGACACCCACTGTGTCCCACCCTAGAGGTCCTTTATTAGAAGAGGCGTTTGCATCCCTGGCTTGGACTCACCATGGCCAGGCGCGGGGCCTCTTGGTCCTCACCCACCATCCAGAGGGAGACACTTCATGCCTCACTTTACAAAAGAGGAAATCGAGGCAAACGAAGGCCGTGAGGTTGGTTAATGGGGAGTGAGGTTCCTGTTCCGGCCTGTGGTCTCAGTAACCAGTCCTTGCATCTCCATCATTTGGGGCACCTCGCTCTGCCTCCCTTTGTAAAGTTTGGTGTGTTGGACTTCCCACTGAGCTGCAGACAGCTCGGCCAGTGCTCTGAGGTATTCTTCCCTGTGGGCAATGCCGACGGGATGGAAATAAAATACCGTTGAAAAGGGCTCCCCCGTGCTGCCTCCTACCAGGAAGCCACCATCCTAACAGCTTTGTTGGTCTGCGCTCCTCGTCACTTGATGCTTGTATCCTCGGTGACTACTAAAACGTCAGCAACGTGCTCGCTTTGGCGGCACATACACTAAAATTGGAACGATACAGAGAAGATTAGCATGGCCCCCATGCAATGATGACCCACAAATTTGTTAAGCATTCCATATTTAAAAAAAAAAATTGATCAGCAAAGACACCTGTATCAGCTGGCACATGCCATCAAATGACGCTGAAGAGCAACACTGTGGCCAAACAGGCCAACTGGGAAGCCTGGAGCTTCCCATAACGAAATGCACCATCTAGACAAATTACTGCGGTGTTTTACTAATTCATGAGCAGGGAATTAATCCTCAGCCCGCGAAATCTGTGCCTGTAGGGTTTTAGTGATGAAAATCACTGAGACAAAAAGAAAACTGAGTGCAGCAGTTTGTGGAGAGGCCCCACGTATAAGCAACTAGTGACTGGAGTGGAGAGAGAATCCCAACAAAATGACCCATGGGACACAGGCGGGGACAGGGAGCTAGACAAGGGAACCATCTGTGGAACAAAAAGGACCCTGTAAACTTGTCCTGGCTTGGGAGATATCTCCACTTACAAGAATTATTTTCCCACTCCTATTTTGGGGGACTATTGTTTTTACTTTGTGTCGGTCCCTGAAGTCCCTAGACCCACGAACCCCCGGCAAAGGCCACGAGAGGCCTGGAGGCAGAACTGGTCCTCTCTGGCCCTGGCTGCACAGGGGCCACACTGCATTTTCTCTGCCCTTGTCTGTGGCGTGTCCACACTGTCCACCTCGGAAGACTTGGGGAAGGGGCGAGAGGAAACAGAATGCGGGGATACTGGAGAGAAAAAAAGAAACATACTGGCAATAGCAAAGAAAGTGGAGTCTTACAGGCAAGCTGATGCCTTGAGCCTGGCTACAGAATAAATCACAGAAACCAGAGGTTAAGCACTGTTTCTTGAGTAAAGCCACAAGTGGTGCTGTCGGGGAGAGGGTGGGGCCACCCTGCCTAGGAGATGGCCCCTCAGCAGGCAGCCCCCGAACCCCAGAGCCCTCTGGGGCCAGAAGTGTCACTTCTCAAACCTTTGGGAACACCAACGTGTCCAGATTTGGCCAAGTATATTTTAACTTTTTTTTTTTTTTTTTGCGGCAAACTGCGCCTCTTAGAGCTCTGGAAGGTCCTTTGCCACTCGAACATAAATGTGAAAAGACAGTACATTAGTATTACACAATGTTGCTTGTTTACCAACAAGGATAAGCAGATGGAATTACATAATCCTCTGTATGTGCGTGTGGGATTCTCCCAGCCCTGGACACTTGAACTTTTAGGGGCAGAGGCTGTGGAGCACTGTTCCTGGCATGGATTTGGCCAGCCTGGGGCACTTCTCCAAACCCTCTCTTGCTGTCCAAGGTGCAGACAAAGGGTCCTTTAGGGCCACTCAGCGCCCGTTGGCACCACCAGCCTGAGAACCGAATAGCCCTTCCTGCACTGCCCCAAGTTCAAGGAAGTCACGGACTTGTACCTAAAGGGGGGAGTCCCACTGAGGCACCAGGAAAGGGGAGGTCATGACAAGATGACAGTAGTGGTGACAGCAGTCACCATTGCCGAGCCTGGCAGCTTCAGGCACGCTGAAGAATCCCATGAGAAGGCGGAGGCTCTGAGGCCCAAGAGGTTCTGAGGCCAAAGAGGCTGGCACAAGGTCACAAGGTCACAAGGCTGGAAGGTGCCAGAGCTGGCGCTAGACCCCAACCCCATCCTAGCTGACTCTAGGTTCCATGCTTGGAACCATGACATGCTGACAACATTGTGGCCTTGAAAGACAATTTTCTAATCACTTCTGTAGGCCTTGAATGTTCCCAAGTGGCCATTTAACAAGCAATTATTGAGCACTGGCTGTGTGAACCTAGTAGACAACCCACTGTAAAATGAGACGGAATGAATGAAGTGCTCATTGAGGTTCAGGTAGGTTCTCTGGGTAGAGAGGAAGGCCTGCATATTTGGGTGGGAAGGGGACAGTGGGGGAGAATCCAGGACTTCCTGCAGGAGGTGCTTTCTGATGCACACCATGAAGAACTCATAGGATGCCAGAGGCAGAGGGACACTTTATTTCCACTGGATGTGGTTGCCAGCATGGCCCCTGGGGCTTCACCTGAGTGTGGCTGTCCCCTGGGGACCTGCCTTATTCTCCTTAGGGGAAGAAGACTTGAAGATCTGCAGTGTGCCAGACCCCTGCTAGGTCCGGGGGTGAGAGAGATCAAAGCCACCATCCCACCCCACTCCCCTGCCCCTCCAGAAAGCAGGACAGCCTCGCCCAGCAGTGGGGAAAGCTCTGCAGGAGCCCCGCCCCGCCCCACCTCAGAGGATGGGGACTGGTCCTTGGCCTTCCTGAGCCTGGGTGTCCTCTGCAAAATGAGGACCCGCATTCCAACCCTGCAGGTGCAGGGTTAAATGAGATGATACACACTCACGCCCCGCATCGGGGACGCTGCACGCGCCTGGGCACAGAACAGTAAGCGCTCCGTAAACTGGGGGGACACCGGTAACATCAGTGGGCTCCAGAGAGATGACTGCCCCGCGAAAGACTCCCCCAGGAGCGCGGGCAGCTGGAGGGGGTGGGTCGGCAGGAATCAGGCAAGCTCCCTGGAGGAGGTGAGCGCTGACTGACAGCAGGAGTTTGCCAGGGTGGAGGGAAAGGGGCAGAGATCCAGACTCCAGTCTCAGAAGCTTCGCTCCCCCGGAGGCGGAGGTGACCCGCCACAGAAGCGCCTGCCACGCAGGGACTTTATTTCAGGTGGGGCTATACTGAACGTTCCCCCCTTTCATACCCGGTATGAAAACCCTCAAAAAAATCCAAAGGGGCACTTTCCCTGGATAAAAATAAAACTTGGAGGGGCCCGCAGGAATGGAATACTTTTTCTTCCTGTGTTTAAATTTCTACGGAAAATCTGACCCGCGCGGCCACCGCCCCTGCCATAGGCGGGCGGAGAGCGCTTATATCTTTAAGGCAAAGGCGGGCCGGCTGGCGTCCAAGTTCCTGACCAGGCGCGGGCCGGCCCGCGGGACCAGCAGCCGGGTGGCGGCGCGATCGGCCCCGAGAGGCTCAGGCGCACCCCGCACCGAGCGCGCGGGCCGGGCGGGCCAGGGCGGCGGGCGGAGCGGGAGGCGGCCACGTCCCCGGCGGGCCTGGGCGCGGGGAGGTCCGGCCCCCTGAGAGCGCGCCGCGAACGCTGCGGTCTCCGCCCGCAGAGGCCGCCAGGGCCGTGGATGGGGAGGGCGCGCCGCCCGGCGGTCCCAGCGCACAGGCGGCCACGATGAGGGTCAACGAGAAGTACTCGACGCTCCCGGCCGAGGACCGCAGCGTCCACATCATCAACATCTGCGCCATCGAGGACATCGGCTACCTGCCGTCCGAGGGCACGGTGAGTGCGGGCGGCCGCGACCCGGGCGGGAGGGCCGCGCACCTGCACCGCGGCGAGGGCGGGAACCGGACGGCGGCGGGGCCTCCCGGGACCCTGGGGGGGGGCGTCCCGCACCCTCTGCGCAGGGTTTGTGGCGCCCACCCGCGCACGTGCGTGCCGGGAAGGGCGCGCCGGCCCCGGTCAAGTGCGTGCGCCCAGCCTGCGCTCTGAGCGTTCCGAGCGCAGCGCCCACTCAACCCAGCGCAGCACCAGGCCCCCAGGCATGGCCTGGCCCGGGAGCTCTGCGGCTCAGAAGCCGCCTCGCCCGGGGCTGGAGCTCGCAGCCCAACCAAGAGCTCACAGCTGGCGCCCTGGATGGGACCTTCCCTTCCTGGCTCGCGGCCAGGGGTGCCCGTTGGGGCAGCCAGGGGGAGGGTGATGGTGGGGGTCTTGGGCGAAGGCCAAGTTGGTCGCCACTCCACGACGATGGTAGCTACCAGGCCCCACTGCTTCACTACCCTCTGGAGTCAGAGCCCGGGGTCCTCACTTGCCAGAAACACACATTGCGCCCAGGGCACTGGGCGTGGTACCCTGGCATTGGCAGCGAAACTCTCAAAGCCCAGGGTGTCAATCATTGGAGATTGCTTTCTACCCTCGCCCCTGTCTCCCCTGGGCGCCCAGGCCTGGTTCGGGGGGGGCACTCGTAGGAAGCCAGTCATGTAAGTTGGGGACCCCATCCTGAGGTCTCCAGTATCCCCACCGCCCTCCCCAGGGCCAGACCCAGAGGTCTAGGGAGCCCTACGTTTTAGGGAAGGGGGTGGGATTCTCCCAGGAAGGGTTTGGCATGAAGGATAAAGTTCGCTGGAAGAGGATAGGACAGGGCTGGGACTGGCTATCTCCTCTCAGGGTGAGGGAAGCTCTCAGCAGCACTTTGTGGGACCTAAGGACGGAACTTCCTTTCTGCCTCCTTCCCCTGCAGACCCCATCAAGGCCCCTCTCCGGGAGTCAGGCCCAGCAGGGCTGCTTCAAGCAGGATAGAGATGGCCCTGGCTTATCCCTCTAGTCTCTGGGGCACACAGAGAGGCGGGGAATGAAGCAGGGACAAAGCTCCTGCTTTGGGTCTCTGTTCCAGCAACAGCAGGGACTCTGGCCTTGGTCAGGCCTTGTACCCTTTGGGTCACAGTGAAGGGGGTTGGCCTAGGGGGCATCTCTTCGGGAACGGAGATTGCACAGAGCTGCCAAGAGCACTGGGAACAGGTGTAGATGGAGAGGGAGCCTACCTGTGAGTCACAGGACTGGCCGGAGGAGCTCAGGGATTGCCATTTGATCAAAGCCATGTGCCAGGCCATGCTGGCCCCTGGGCACCCTTAAAGAATGAGACAGAGAAGGCTCCGCCCATCTGGAGCTTACTTAAGAAATGGTGATGGAACGTTACCTGTTATCCACGGCAGTGACAGGGACAATTCCATAGTGCTAGGCCAGTGCTGTGCCTTAGCTCATGGAACTCTTACAACGTGTGAGGTAGGTGCTACTACTACAGGCAAGGAAACTGAGGCCCAGAGGAGCAGGTGACCAGCTCCAAGTCACCCACCAGCTGGGAGGACAGTTAGGAAGGGCCCAGGACACAGACCAGGTAGCTGCAGAAAGTCTACCTGAAGAACAAACCTTCTGGAGAAGAAGCTAATTCTACCCCATAACAGGTGGGGACTGCGTCCTTCAAAAACATTGCGCATTCAAGGTCCAAAGGTGGGGCCGTGGGGAGACCAGCCAG